ATTAAACGGTATTGAACTTCACATGATTACTAACAACAAGATTTCTTCCACGACCCCAGGAAATGATGGATCTACTCACAGGACCATAATTAGTGGATATAAATATACGATGAACAATCTGAACATAACACAACGATCAACCAAGGTGGCTATTTCTCTTGGCCGTGTGGGCGCCAAGAGCTATAGCGGAGGCGCGCTTGCCTTTGTGTCATAGATGTGAGAAAATCTTTGGCCATGTTTGGATACTCTAACTCAGTTAGAGGATAGAGTTAGATTCTAACCTTGAACTAACCCTAGACTAACTCTAACCAAAGAGCTGTCTGGATGGTAGGGTTAGATTGACAATAAATATTCTTTCTCAACCATTTGACTATTTTGGACCATGTTTGAATGAGAGGGATAACTTTTTTTACTATTTTTTCTAGTGGGCCTTTGTATGAATTTGGTCAACTTATTAAGCAGAGTTGATTTGACTTGGTACAAACGTACTAGAACTTGAATTATTATTTTGATGAAACACAGGGAGTACGTGAGAGGGTGGCCTCACTTGACGCGGACACCACGCCGCACCACAGAGACCCCGGACGCAGAAACCCAGACCCAAGGAAGGAACCGATGAGCTGAGGTCAGGTATCCCAAGCCCACACTCAACCGAAAGCCAGCATAAATGCAACCCCCTCCCTCCCTCCCTCCGCAGCACAGCACAGACTCCCAGAGGCAGAGGCGGCAGGCAGAAGAGGAAAACCAAACAGTCCATCCGGCCCGCTAGCTGACACGCCACCCCCGCACGGCCGCGGGTACCCGAGCCGAGGCGAGGAGAAAAAAGTTGGTTTGCGCCAAAAAAACAAACGGCGCCCGAAGCGGGCAAGCAGCGGGCGGGCGCAAGCAAGCGCGAGGCAGGCCACCAGTCCACCACCCGCGCCGCGGCATGGGCGCAGCACTAAAAAGAAGCGACGCCACCTCCTCCCCCCCTCTCTCTCCTCCTCCTCCCCCGCTCCCCACTCCTCTCTCCTCCCGCTCCGTGGCGAGCTGCCGCGGGGTCCCGGCGTGATCTGGCGGTGGAAGGTGGCGGGGCGGGACATGGAGGAGCGGCGGGACGAGGGGTTTGGAGGGGGCGGGGCGGTGCGGGAGCTGGTGCTGATGCAGCAGGAGCGGCGGCGCCGGCGGGAGGAGGAGGAGGAGGAGGTGCGGCGCCAGATGTTCGGGGGAGGCGCCGCGTTCCACGCTGCGGCGGCCGCGGCCGCGCTGGGCCAGCAGCACCAGCACCAGCAGGCGGAGTACGGCGAGCTCGGGGGCGGCGCGTTCTACGAGAGCGAGGCGGGCGGGTCGTCGGAGCCCGAGCCGCACGGGGCGTCCGACCGCCCGCGCGGGGGCGGGGGGTCCGGCAGCAAGCGCACCCGCGCCGCCGAGGTGCACAACCTCTCCGAGAAGGTGCTGCCCCTGAGTTTCGCTCTGCTTTTTCCGCTCTTCTCGCCCTCTGCGTTTACCGGCCGCTCATTGCTTGTTTGCTTGCTTGATTGGCCGGGGCGCAGCGGCGGAGGAGCAGGATCAACGAGAAGATGAAGGCGCTGCAGAGCCTGATACCCAATTCCAACAAGGTCGGCACTCGGCAGCACAGCAAAACCAACCGTCCCCCTTTACTTTCCTTTCCTTGTCCCTGAATTTCGGGGCTGCGGAATTACTGTTCCGGAATCTGAATGCGTGTGTTCATGGGGTGGGTTGCAGACTGACAAGGCGTCGATGCTTGACGAGGCCATTGAGTATCTGAAGCAACTGCAGCTCCAAGTACAGGTCAGTAAATGCATCTCTGGATGGCTGGTTGATGTCTGAGTAGAGGCTAACTTGCTAGTAGTGCATTTATTTTAACTGATGGTCCAAACTGCAAACATTGACGTAGGGGCAAGTGCCTTACTGTGGGTGTTGTCCTTACTGATTCTTTATCCAATCGATAGTGGACTAGGGCTGGGGAAAAATTTCACACAGCACAGCAGTGAGTGACTGCTTTCTGCTCTATCGAGTGTTGTTAGCCACATCTTATACAACTGTTGATCTCCTTTGATTCACATTTGTAATGCCGATCAAAGTGTTGATATGTTAGGGCTAGTTTCCTAGTGCGGATGCACTTCGGCAAATGCCGTGCCAATTGACATTTATGCTAGCTAGCTATATTCAGTTGGTAGGTGCTGATAGTTAAACTGCACTTTTGAAATTTAAATATACAGTTCAAACTCAAGTATTAATGCAGAGTTTTTGCCCTGATCCCCCCTACAGATGCTGTCTATGAGAAACGGCGTTTACTTGAACCCATCGTATCTATCTGGAGCACTTGAGCCTGTGCAAGCATCACAAATGTTTGCAGCACTTGGTGTTAGTGGGAGAAATGTGGCGGCACCAAGCTCTGGGGCAGTAGCGCCACCTGTAAACCAAAGTTCAGGAGCTCATCATTCATTCGATCCGATGAATTCTCCTCAACAAAATCAACCACAGCCTCTTGTGTTACCAAGCTGTCCTAAAACAACCATTCCAGAGCCTCCGTTTCACTTGGAGTCGTCACAGCCCCACCTTCAATCATTTCAGTTGCCTGAATCCTCCGAGGTAACACAGGTCCCTTATTTTCGACAGATATTGTACTGAGGTTTCAGGAAGATTTTTCTCACAACATGCATTCTTATGTTTTGAAGATGATGTTGCGAGGGGATATAATGCTGAAGCATCACCTAACATCAGCTCAGGACAGAGCTGATCCATCAGGTTTGTGACAAATTATTTAACTATCTGTTGTTGCCAGCATTTTCATTTGTACCGCGGACACCACACCTTTTCATATTAATGATGACATGCCCCTTCACCCCCTTGAAGGAAACAAGATGAACTCATTAAGGCAAGAATCATCCATGTTGAACACTCATTTTGATGGATGCTCGCGTAGCAAAGAGCAGTCACATGATATGGTACCAGCAAATACACGGCATGTGTAGGTGAGTTTTTCTTGGCATGGTTGAAGAGCCAATCAGTCAAGCATATAAAAAATAATTATATATGCTGATAAGTTTTTTAAAAGGAGGATAAACATGCTTTAAGTGTGATCACATGCACAACATACCATTGCTTTTAGCCTCTCCTTTTAGACTAAGGCTGCATTTGACATCGTGATAGATTATGATAATACAACTTTTCCAACCAGATTTTGCCTATTCTGTGGTTCGGCTAACGAGGTTGTTCTTGCTTCGTGGCTACTTTCCCTCAGTAGATCGTAAAAACAGAGTTCAGCGCAACATAATTCAGCAACCACAAACTGAGCCTAAGGAGTTGGATTGTGGTCCAACCTGATTGCTAGATTAAAAGAAAATAGTTCGAACTGACGGTCTCGTTTACTGTCATGTTGTCTAGGATGTGCTTAAAACATTGATATCATAATGTGAAAAATTGTCGATACTTCAAGCTTTACCCTGGACTCCCTGTAAATATAAACACTGCGGCCAGTAATGAAACAGGTAAGATGTTTAGACATAAAGTAGTTGACTAAGAAGACTTTGGGGCTAATTCAATGGGTTCAATGACTTCAGTGAAAGCAACCTAGCCTTCAGGCAGGTGAGCTAACCAACCTAGCCCAATTTATTACTAGCGTCTCTTTAACATCATCAACTGTTTTCCCCATGCTAGTACCTGCTATGATTGCTATGTTTGATCAAAAGAACAATTATCTACCCCGTGCATTCCTATATCTTAACGAAGCATCGACAGATACTAATAACCGTTTGTTTGTCTCTAAACCCTTGTCTTTGACAGCAGCTTAGGAAGTGATCACCAGTGACACCGAAGAAGTCGGCGTGCGAAGGCAGGATGACGTGACGTAGCTCAGCGATCTAGCTACTAACCGGCAAGTCCGACAGTCAAAGCTTTGCCAATCACTGACTGATCTCTCCGTTACCGCTATATAGTTCTACTGTTAGTTCTTGAAGCGGCCTGAGCGCTTCATCTTCACTTGGTAGTACTAGTAGCTAGAGAGAAGAACCCTGTAAAATATTGCTCATCTGATGCTCCTTTTTTCCAGTCAATTTGAGGGCCTCAGGACTAGCAGGTAACTAGACTAGTCTGCCATAATATGTTCTATGATGATGATGAGCAGCAGCACAGGCAGTAGCCGGTGCTCCTGGCGAATTCAGAATATATATAATCTGCCGGGAACTTTTTGAATTTTGATGCCCAAAATCGTTGCACGGTTACAGAGTGCAAAGCGACAGCAGCATGAGCGATGGACCCGGATCCTTCAGCGAATTATACGTTTTGTTCTGAGATTCCCCGTTGGAGGACCAGCCTGAACTGAGAGCGACGTACTGTTGTGGTGGCGCGATCATGCCGGGATCGTCCTCGCGAACGTATCCTGGGTGGCGTCCCCGAAGTTGCCCATGACCTCTGCCTGGCGTCACAGTTCGGGGGTGGTGGAGTGGAGTTGTAACTTTCGGTCCATTTCACATGGACCGTCCGCCCCTCTTTTCTTTCTCCTCCTGATAGCCGCCCCTCTTCTTCCTTCTCTCGACGCCGCCCTAACCGTCTAACGTCCCCCCACCCGTGGCCGATGGGCGTTGTCGTGCATCATCAGTGGCGGATCTAGGAACAAAATTGCAAAATGATTTTTTCTATGTAAGTCAATGCTATTTTATGATTGTTTCTTCATATTACAAGGATGCTTATAGCAAATTATACAATGTGTAGTGTAAAATTTCACAAATTTTGAATTGTGGCACCCCCAGTGTTGAGATTCTAGGTCTGCCATTGTGCATCATCTTGCCGCCCAGCCTGTGATGCTTAAGTTACTGGACGGTGATGGAGGCGTGTGGGTGAGTTGGCTAACGCCCACACGTGTGGGCGTTAACATTTCCGTTTTTTTTTAACGTTGGGAGTATACATTGCCAGCTGGTTTGTTTGCCGTCTCTGTTAGACACGCGAGGACAGGATAGGATTAGAGCACACACTCGCGTCGATCGACATGAGCCTGCCTAGTGGAGCTTTGACAAATCCCTTCCTGTCCCGATTGGCTCCCGTGCCCGGTGGAGCCCTGTAGCAACCTTTCCAACCCTCCAAGTGGTGAGGTGAGAGGACGGGGGAGACCGGAGGGCCACCGGGCGAGCGAATGATGGTGGTATGATCCCATTCCTGCCCCAGCCCCAGCCAGGAGCGTGCACGGAGACGTCCGGACGGCGCCATCGCCGTGCCGCGTCACCGCGATCGCACCCCCTCCATACAAAATCCCTCCACCCATCGACACCGCAACCACCTCCACCACCACCGCCCCGCCATCGCCATGCGCCCCCGCCCATGACGCCGCCCCCGTCGCCCCAGCCCCTCCTCCTCCTCACCCACCAGCTCCTCTCCGCCGTCTCCGTCCTCGTCCTCGACCTCCTCGGCCCCGCCCCCGCCCCCGACGC